GGCAAAACACCAGGTAACAATCTTCTTTTGGCACAGCGTATCCTGAGCTGCTGCCCACCATGCCTGGAACCTGGAGCCTGCTTTCTGTGGAGAGCAGCAGCATGGAAAGGGTCCTTCCTGAGCTGTGGAAACATCTTCAGTGCCTCAAGCACTGCCTGCTTGGCTAATGAATATGCAGTACTTGCAAATAAGTAGTGATTTCCCTTGAATTAATGGCATGGAGAAAGCATACCAAAAATGCAGAGAAATAAAAAACCTATTTCAGCAGGTTATGACCAGAAGGGGAGATGGAAACCTAAATATTTTCATTTTCTCTTTCACAAAGTACTTATGCTTTTCTCCCAAGAACTACCAGATCCTGCTTGTGTTATTCAAGCCTCCAGTGACACTGCACTTTCCACAGTTCCTCTTCTCATTTTTTTTTGTATTTGAAACATTTTCGGGGGTTCAAATGGTCATTAGCCATGTTTAAACACATCCTGAGCACGAAAAGACCCAAGTTTCCGTGATGCAAACAATAATTTTATGATCCACAAAGTATCACAGTGTTAATTTTCGAGGAAATCCAGTTCTTTGTAATTACAGCAAAGACTGTGATTGTCTTGGGTAAAACACAAGCTCCACCTGTCAGGGGTGGCCTCTGCTAGAAACAGCTCTGAAATGCTAGATATGGGTTAAGAACGTAGTCTGTGCAATTAGTCTTTATGTTAATTATTGATTTTACTGAAGCAAAATGCCAGCAGGGCTGTCTTGCTTTGTGAAACAGAGCTTTTGGAAGGGGGTTGCAATAGTTCCTTCTGAAACAATCAAAGGAGAGCGTTTCAGAGCCCAACAGGGCCGATGTCACAGGGCCTGGAGATGCTGAACCAGGTTCCAGCCCAGCCATGGATGGTCCAGAGGAGCTGGAACAAACCCAGCCGGATGCTGAGAGGCTGCTGTTTCTGTTTCCATGGAAACAGAGATTGGCTCCCCACAGCAGGTGGTTTGGAAATGTTTAAATTGGCGTGATTGTAGATAATTTGCAAGCCCCTAACATTTGTCGCCGGGAAACTTGGAGATGCATTTGTGTGGCAATAGGAGCGGCAGGCCCAGCTCAGCAGCTGCAATGTGGGGCTGCTGTAGCCCTGGTTTTCCCCTGGAAGTGGTTCCTTGGTGCTGGTGTCTCCAGGCTGCAGGGCTTGGAGAGACACCAGAGGCTGGACTGTTGTGCTTTGCTGGTGATGCCTCCCAGCCATGGCTGTGAGCTCTGTCCCACAGATGTCGTGGCTGCAGAGGCACCAGTGCCTTCTGCTCTCCGTTTGCTTTTCCCAAAGGATGATTCCGAGGGGACCACAATACACCTGAGGAGCTTTGCAAATTACAGCCAGCTTAACACCTGGATTATCTGAGTGTTCAGCACCTCTTTGTACACTGCCTTAATGCTTTTCACAGTCGCCTTCATCCTCTTTCTGTGTAGAATCTAAGTAGGTTTACTGCCTACTCCCTCAGACTCCCCAAAATCAGAAACATTCACTGTGAAGAATGTCTTTCTTGTAGCCCTGGATGAGCATAAACACGTTTGTAGATGCTATTTTCATACTTTACCTACTGTCAAGTCCAAACCTGCCACCCAGATCCCTGATAAAAAGCTTTGCTCAAAGCAGTATATAGTTAAAAATGAAATGAAACTTCCATTCTAATCAACTACAAAACTTGAGGGGTTTTAATACAAACTTTTTAAAAAAAAAATCAGACTTTTCATCACTTTCCACTACAGAACAGATCCAAATGGTACATTCTGCTACCAAACAATTTAATTACTGGGGGAAAAAAAATAAAAACCCTCTGTGGAAACATATTCTTGGCCTTCTCAAACAGAAACCCTGATTTTTAACCTCTCGGAGCAGTGCTGAGCAGGAGCTGCAGCAGCTGTTGGGGAACAGTTGCACTTAAGGCTCGTTATTGCCTTTGCTAAATTTCTGAGTGAAGCCATAGGTGAAGGTGAGGTGAAAAGCCCCGTTCAGAGAGTGAGGAAGTGGGGATGAAAGGCCCTGCAGGTTTCCAAAGCATCCTGAAAACTGTGTCAACCCTCTGCCCACCGAAAATGCTTCTGTTTGGCACAAAGGTCTCGCTATCACTGTTTTGCAGGGGGAGATTTCGGGCGGTTCCAGGTGGTTTCAGTAGAAGGCATTACAGCAGTTAGCAGCATTGATTTTGTCCCCCTTCCCTCAGCCCCACAGGGCTCTCTGCCAGGCTCAGCCTTTCCAGCCTCTGTAAAATTCAGGCCACTCACATCGAAATATTAACCCAGTCCCGACATTCGGCATTTCGGACCTGGAGGCCGGGTTGGCTTGTTCCTATTTAGAGGGCAGGGGAAGAGAGAATTTTCTCCCTCTTTTAGAGCCCTGCAAAGCCTGATGATCCCTGCCAGGCGTGGCACCCCCTGGCCATGGCCCAGCAGCGCTGGGAGGTGTGAGCAGTGGCCCAAGGGTCTGGCCAGCAGCTCTGCTTCGTCAGAGCCAGGGCTACGACCCACAGCAGCTCATTGCTGACAGCTCACCAGGACACCTGCACCAGAGGCCTGAGCTCTTCTGCAGCCACGGGGGGGGGTGGGAAAAATCCCTCTTTTAAATTTAGAAAGATGGCATAAACTCAGGGAACAAAGAAACCAGGGAGAATTTATTCGGCGCGCCGGGTCTTTCTCTCTCCGAATTTCTGGGGAGAAAGACCCTTTGGCTTTAAATCTTATACATTTTATAGTTTCACAAAATCCCACCCTTTTTCAGATAAGTTTAATATATTCATTTTTGCCTAAAAAGGGTTCTTTTCTCTGAAAAGGGCCTTTCCCTTTCTTCCAATTGGCTGCAAGGCGTCCCCTGTCAAAGATGATGGATCTTCCTTTGTCCTTAGCCCAAAGAGAGGAAAGAACCTCTGTATACAAAATGGCCCCAAAAGATTTTAATTTTTAGGAACTTTTGTATTTCCCTTATCTGGCCAAAAAAGACTCTGATACTCAAGTCCAGCTTTTGGAACTTGGATATCTTACAACTTTGTGATACACCCATGTAAACAACTGTATTTTTATTTCTTATAGTGGGAGACAGAGTCCCCCAGAGCACAAAGGGAACAGCCCACGCTGATGGCATGAGGGAGCACCCCTGGGGAGGTGACTGTGTGGCACTGGTGCTGGGGGGTGGGATGGATGCAGGCACAGAGCTCAGTGTGAGGGTCAGTCAAATAACTGGCTTTGTGGTTGGAGGCCAAACTAAAAATAACAAGAAAGTAGCACAATGCACTCGATGCATTTTTATGAACCCCAACAGCAGCAAAGATGTTGGTTTCAAATCACAGCTGCAGCTTGGAAATAGTAACAGGAAACGTTTAGTTTTAGAAAGACTGAGATAAAACACTTTAAAATCTTTTTTTTTTTTTTTTTTTTTGCACACAGATCAAGTAGTATGACTAGTGCCCATGCCCTCAAAATGCTTTTTTTTTCAGGGAATTTTCCCTTCTGGAAGAAAGCTTCCCTCTTTCCTCCTCAGCACTGTCTGAAAGTGAACCCTCACGTTTCTCCTTCTCCCCCTCCCATGCAATGATGCTTTTCTCCTGCTACTCCTCTCGCCCTGCAGACTCTTGGTTGCCCTGTTCTGCTTGCACTTCATGTTGCCTCTCAAAGTCTCTGCACATTCTCTGTCTTCTTCAGACCACCAGGAAGGAAACTTGCCAGTTCTCCAAAACACCAGCTGCAAATTGCCCATGGAGAGAGGATGGCTAACTCCAGCCACCAGCTGCTGCAGAGCTCTGAGCAGATCCCTGTGCCCCGCTGGAGCTCGGGGAAGTTGTGAGACTTCCCCACTACCAAACGATGTGGCTGCTGCTGCAGGGATGGCAGGGAACCAGCAACACCCAGGAGCAACATCAACTAGTTGTAGTAAGTCAGTCCTGCCGTGTTCTTGGTGGGGCAGGACACACTTTTGCACAGGCAGCCACATGCTTTCTTTCCTTTTTTTTTTTCCTACCCTCCAAAAACGTCAGTGAGTATTTAAAAACACATATTTAAGAGTGCTTAAAACATCCTAAGGAGGTGAACAGAGGCAACCTCACCTGTAGGACAGGTATTTTGGAGAGTGTATCATGGAAGCATCTGAGGTGTTACCCTAGGATCAGATATTTGCTGCTGTATTATCACAGCTGGGTGAGCTGATCTGGGGAGCTGCCTGAAATACCTGCTGTCAGAGGGTGCTGGGTGTGGTGCTGGGTGCTGCCCTTTCACACATCTGTGAGGCTTCACCTCAAGTCCTGGTGCTAACAAACCCTTAGCTCTATTTTTTTTTCAAGACTTTGGATTTTACTTCTAAATTTCACATGTCTTGCATATTCATACAGCCATTTACATGAGGGCATGCAAATCGGGAGTGTTCTCTGTATTGACATCCAGGTACCTAAATGTGTGCAGACACCTGCACACTTCTCAGGGTTCTTAATTTAACCAGAGTCTTGAAAAGCCTTTTTCAGTTGCAAAATGCAACTTTGAGCTACTCTTCCCATGTGCAAATGCATGGGCCTCTGCCAGCCCCAGAAGGTGCTGCAGAAACGGGGCAGATACTTTCCTTTTGCTTCTTTTCCTTTGCGAGACCCCAGCAGTAGATGATAGTTCGGCTGTAATTTCCTCCACAGCTTGTCTCTTTGTATTGTACTGCTTTCCTTTGCATTTTAATTTCTCTCTTTCCTCTTGTAGCTGATCAAATCATATCACTGAATTTACTGCTTTTTTTCCCCCCCTCTGGTTTTTTTTTTTCCTGTCCGCTCGCACGCACCCACAGCACGGAGCAGCCTGACACCATTTGACATTGCCTGGCTTCCTCATTTCAATATTAACTGTTTACTAGAAGAGAAACAGGTTTGGGGATGGGGTGCTGAGTGCATGCATGAATCTGTGTGTGAGCAACAGCTTTTCTGCCCTCTGTCCCTTCCCAGCCACAGGTGATTAAGCTGAGCTGCCTGGAACTGCCCCATGCTCTGGCCACCAGCCTGACTTCAGGAGGGCCAGGTCTGTGGATGTGCTGCTCTCTCTGCTCGGGCTGGGGTGCAGGGACAAGGCTCAGTGCTGTGCCTGCTGCTGCTCTCAGCCCAGAACAGACTTGCTGAACCATCCTACCCCTCTACAGAGCAATTACAATGACCCAGCTGCAGTTTAAAGATGCTTTTTGGGTAAGTGAACATTTCCTATGTGTTTCCTATATTCAGGGTATCTGTATTTAAAGTTTTTTTAAAATACAGCTTGGTTTTATATATAGTTTGAAACTAATTTAATGCTGTTCTGTGTTCTAAATTTAGTTCAGTAAAAACCCAAATTTGTCCCCAAGCAAAAACACATTGTTGGGTAGTATAAGTGTTTGACCCTGGGCAGAAGGGATGCACTGTAAAGAATATATCCAATCCCCATAAAACAACTGACATTCCCAGTTCCTGTGCTAGGTCCAGAAACCTCTCTTGAAAAGGACATGGATTTGTTTGCCTCACTGTCCTGAGGACCTGTGTGCAGTGAGTGTCCTCAGCTTTAGGAATGGCTCCCCTGAGCAGGTGAGCTCTTGGTAATGCCAGGCTGAATTCTCTGCTGTTTGGTGCAGAGCAAAGCCAGCAGCTGCCAGCAGGATGCTCCTGCTCAGCTCCCTGCACAGCCCATCCTGCTGAGAGCTGCAGGAGGGCAGCACCAGGCATGCAGTGCCCAGGAGTCCTGCAGCAGCTCAGGTGGAAAGGACCAGCAGAGACTCCACAGCTAAGCCCAAACACCCCCAGCTGATCTAAAACCAGGGAATACTAAAACAGGGGGACGTGCTCTGTACTTGTTATTGGACTTTTGGTTGAAAACCCTTTCGGTGTCTTGTTTCCAAGCTCTCTCCCTGCAGTTACAGGATAGAAAGACCCGAGTCATTTCTCTCTCAAGGGTAATCTGAGGTTCTCTTGCAACTGAAAACTGAAAGCTCAAATCTAAAATTCTAACAGTGTGAAGCTGGGTTAACAGGATGTTATGTGGTTGCCTATTGTCTGAGCATTCATTTATCCAGCATCTAGGACTGCTTTAAAGAAAGACATGAAGGCATATGAATTCTTCCTGCCATTTCAAGGCTGTTCTTTCTGCTTGTGCTTTCTTCCTCTCCACCCACCCTTCAGGGTAAAGCCTCTCTTGGTAGAAAACAGAAGGGCAGGGGCAAAACCGCATTTCAGTGAGCCACTGTCCTCTGGGCACTTCCAGGAAGCCCTCCCCACCCCCGTTCCAGCACCGGAGCTGAGCAGTTAAAAAAAAAATAAAAATGCAATGAGGAAATACAAAAATCAATGTTATTTCAGTGCTAACTGTGCTTGACCACACCCAGGTGAGATTCCCCTTTTTTATACATCTACTAAGTGCCCAGTCCAGTGTGTGTGGGGAGACACAGCTGTGAGCCAGTGTCACCCTGGGAGCTTCTGCTCCTGCATCGATGAACTTGGAAAACTCGCCCCGTGACTTTTGGAACTGGTACCTTTGGTATATTTACTTTTCAAGGTCTTGGTCTTTAGGGAGAATAACTCCAGCTATGGGAGTAGTGTGAGGGTGATTAACACCAGCTGACAATCTGGCCAGGCCGGTTCTTCACGGCTCTTCTTCCCTAAACTTCTCTCCTGTGCTTAGTCATGTTACCGTGACTCAAATCCTTGCTTTGCTTTGAAGTGATCACCTTCCTCACAGGAAACCATCTTTGGCTTTAATAGTTTTTGGGCTGGAAATGTCGTTATCCCCCAGCTTGATGAAGAGGGCAGGATATGTCCGGTTGCAGGATGGCAGCTTTAGCTACGCAATAATAAGTCTTTTAAAATGAAAACTCCCAGGATATTGCCCAATGCAGCACAAGCGTGCAGGGTGCCCCCAAATCACGAGATCAGCAATTATTTCTGCGTTCATGAGGCTCTGTTCTGCCCATTAGTGAGAGGAAAATGTGTTTGTGTGGTTTGCTTCAGTGAGCAGTTATCTCCTCTGTTTGATCTGTACCCTGAATGGAAGGGTCTTTATGACTGAAAACCAAAAAGTGTGTTTGCACCGTGGTGGGTGACTCAACACAGATCCCTGATCTCTAATTGCTGCCCAAGGACACCGCTGCACCCTCTCCCTGTGCTACACCCTGACTGGGTATCCCTGAGCAACAACCCCCTGCTCTATCATCAGTAAACTTCTGCATAAGCAGGAGTTTCTTCAGTGCCTACCTCAGTGTAAAATATGTAAAGAAATCCTAAAATCGGGAGATTTTCCCCATCTAGCAGAGAAGGAACACCATTGATTCCTCTCCAATGGTCTTCAGATTTCATAAGAACAAAGTGTCCTGTCTTTCAGGAAAAATGTAAATTGTTCCTCGTAGCAGATTTATGTTTTGTGCTCTCTTTTCCCCTGTTTAATTTAGCAGTGATAGTACTACACTAAAACTCTCACACTTGTGTCTTTGTTTAATTTTATTTTCTTTGAAGCAAGGCCTGGGCTAAAACCTGTGTACTTTTTAATTACAATGTTTATTTCTGTATCCTCGATCCTTAACGCTTTAAGGGAAAGTTGCTCAAAGCCTGCACTAAAATGTGCTTCTTAACACAGAGGATAGAAGCCTTCTATCCTCTGACAATATTTTTTGGAAAATACTAGTGAGATGAAAATTCAGATTGGGTTGATAACCAGTGCAGGGCTAACATTAATATTCTGCTGGGCTGCTGTACAAGCATAACAGATGTTACCTGTCTTCTCCAGCATCATAAGGGACAGGAAGGGAAATTCCCATGTTAATGAGGAGGATGTCTGCAATCCCAGCTGAGATCCATGCTAACAGGGTTGTGTTAACAGGCCGAGTTCTGAGCAACAGGAATTTTTTTTGTTACAAAACCCACTATCCAATAAAATCTTTCCCCCTCAGTCAGAAATACTGGGTGTCCTTCTCAGTCTCTCTCTATATTCTTGCACTCATCATTTGCTTTTCCTCTGCAATTCCTGTCATTGGCTTTTCCTTCTGTTTTGTTTCCCTCCAACATGCTGCTCAACACTCCAGTTGCAACCTATGAAATGCAGCTATTTCTGGCCAAGAGGTAGGAAATCATTGCACCACTTCCAGGCTTTGTACCCCCCTGGGAATGGGGAACAAGGAACACTTTCAAAGGAGCCATTTGGTTTTTGGGGCAGGCTCCAAAGGGCCCAGAGCTGAGTGGGAGCAAATCTATTCCCTTGGACAGCTTTGAATCCAACTCAAGTGGCCAAGTAAATTCTGAAAATATGCTGTGGGCTCCTGAGGTCCTTTGGATTTCAAAGTAGGTGCTTGGAGTGTGAAAGGCTTGTTCCTTCTCAGCTGTGGGATGAGCTCAGGGCTTTGGATTCTCACAGCTCAGATTTAAAAGCGTGAGTGAGACATGGGCCAGCAAAGGCAAATTTTAACACGTGAGCTGGCACGATTCACCTCCCTGCCCTGCTGCAGGCTGGTCTGTACCACATCCCTGCCTGTGCAGCCCCCGTGGTTCTGGTCAGACACTGCAGCAGAGGGAGCCATGGAAGTGCTTCAGGAAAAGAGTCTGTTACAAAGATGCCTAATCTCTCTTGCTTTGGCTTCAGGCTATGTTCTGCCTCAGGTTCAGTGCAAAGCTGACTTTGTAGGTGAGCCTCTCAACTCTTACTGTAGCTTTTCCACACAATGGTCTATCATATAGGCCAAAAAGATGTAATTAGCTTCACAAATAATTGAACTTCTAATGAGACTCTTAACTGTGGAGATGAGGATAAAAGTCACAGTAAAACTACCTTCTAGACTCACTAGGCCATGTACTGACGAAACCCACCACCACCTGTTTTATTCAAAATAGGAAGGTTTTTTCCTACTGGGAGCTACCCTGCTCTCCTGGGGAGGTTCAGCTTTGCAGGACCCGTTGTTTTGCAGCAGGTCTGTGAGGGGGAAGTGAGACTGGGCAGGTTTGTGGGGAGGGGTCCTGCCAGCCCTGGCACCGAGGCACTGAGCTTGGGCAGGCAGGGAGGAGGCTGGCAAACCTTCCCCCTTGGCATCCCAGCTTTGCAAGGGGTTCCCACCGAGTTCTGTTTGTATTAGAATGCACCAGTTGCATCTGCACCTACTGACACAAGGCAAATGCCCATAAATAATCCCCCAGCCCGTGGGTGGGCCAGGCTCTGCTGCCAGCGTGGTCCTGCATCGCCCTGAGCTCCAGAATGGGGCCAGGGGCAGATGTTTGGCCACAGCCCTGCTCACACCCAGGCCAGGGCATCACTGAGGGACGTGTGTGGAAATGGGGAATAAAGGGGGAACCAGCTCGGAAAAGTTGAACCAGTTGCCCAGCTGATGTCTGTGTGTGTTGTGAGGTCACTTCAGCACCACAGAAGAGGCTGCTCTACTCTATTTTAGCATGTAGTTCCTTCCTCCATCCTCCCACCTGCTCTGGGAAGGACATTTGGCTCACTGGGACAATGAGAGGCACCCATGAGGTGGGGGCAACCACGACAGTCATTGAAACCAGAGGAAATCACAAGTAGAAAACCTGGTTAGTCGTTGTGGCCATGGAAATGCTTCACAAGTCAGTGCTGAGCAGAGCACAAGAGCTAAAATGAAGCTCAAATGAATGAACACTAGATGAATGGGTTTACAACAAGTTCATGTTAGGTCAGTGACTGAAATAATCAGACAGTTAAATACATTTTATTACAGTCTTCTGATGACCATGCTGCAGATGAGGGGCTTTGACTATTTAAATTGGCTGATTAATGAAGTAAGTCACTGTGACAAATTTGTTAATATTTTTACACAGTTGTATCTGGTTCATTTGGACCCATCCTGCTCTGCAAAAGTTGTTTGGTTTTGCTTGGGCTCAGAGAAATGGAGGATTCTTATTTATGCCAACTTTAACTGTGCCATGAGTATGTATTTGAAATATGGAGTAGATGAGTCACCGACTCTCTTTTCACCGTACACAGACACATCTAAGGAGCAGAACAGCACCTAAACGAGCACTTGTCACACAGCTCGAAATGGAGCCTCAAACACAGATCAAAGAGGGTGTCCTCTGGCTTGCTAAAGCAGCCTGTTGAGGTGCATTTTCTGGTGGCAGAGTCACAGAATGGCCAGGGTTGGAAGGGGAGATCTCCAGCCAGCACAGGGCCGGTCACAGCACCTTGTGCAGCACCAAGCTTTGAGTGTCTC